GTAAATTTTGATTCATTTCAATAATTAATATTAACTTGCAAAGTCATAGATATTTTGCCAGTTTTTAATACTTTTGCAAAAATTTTTTGAAAAAGAGTTCTTATTAGTCTGACTCTGTCCGTCCGCCCGTCTAGAGCCTTGACATAGAAACCTATGCTCTTCACGAGAAACTAATTTTTTTAGAAGAAAATTTTCACATATTTCCCCTCCCACCCCTTTTAAAGTTATAACCCCACAAAATTTGCAAAATTTAAATTTTTGGCGCTTTATATTTCCGAAATTGCAAGCTTTTGCGAATTTCTATGAATGCAGAAAGCTAACGGTAAATGTTATAAGTTATAAATGTTGGCCATTAAAAAATATAATTATTTTTCTTTACTCACACAATTAATCCTTAAATTCGAGCATCATTTTAGCTCGAATTTTAACGTCTTAAATTTTATATGTAAATTTATTTCGACTATGACACGGATGATCAACTTTTGGAATATATTAGGCCTCGGCAACTGGACTTTTTAGCGGGCCTGTTTTGCTTTTTTGACCATTTTGAAGAAAATATTCTACAGATTTACGTGAAATTTTATATATGTATAAGCTTCATTCGACTACACTAACTTTTGGAAGAAATCAGATGTCAGCATCAAAATGTTTACTACAGGCCAAATATACTTTACATGGGTATATAACGAAAAATAATCAACCAATTTCATTCAAATTTAATATTTTAGTTCGGAGTGTTAAAACAATGAATCTATAAATTTTTTGGAAAGATCAGGGCTCGGAAACTGATATGAGGGCCATATTTACGGGACGGATTGATGGAATTTATTGAAATTGAGTATTTGAGCTCTGGTTGTTACCAGAACTTACTGACGAACCATTTGTGTAATTCGGGCAGCACAAAATGAAACTCTACTAAATAACAAACTGACATTTTTCTAGATATGTTAACTAAAAGCTTATTAGTGTTCATAAAATTGTAAAGAAGTTTTTAAAACGTATTTTCATTATTTTCTGGAATACTTTTACGAATCTAGACAATATACATTGCGGTCGGTTATGTGCTGACTACCAGTTTTTTTTTGTTTTATTTCAAAGATTAAATACCTAGCTCATCGGAAATGTGAGCAATTCTGAAAATATACTCGTTTATTAATGAAAGTAATTTTATTTTACTTTGTTTTTAAAAGCAGTATTTTCATTTGTTGAAGGGAAAAGTGCTACATTACAAACCATTGGTTTGATCCAACTTTATTAATATGTGCTTAAAACAAAATATGTTTCCTATTGTTTTCCTGCAATGTCTCTATTTATTTAATTTTAATGAAAAAATAAAAATTTCTAAAATTCTATACTTTAAAATACTCAAACTTAGCAATATTATTAAACAGCAACAATTTGTGTTATTGTTAATTTGATCTCTCCTACTATTCTATGTTTATGATATTGACATGAAAATTCTTATACAAATTTTAATCAAAAATGTTAAAAAAAAATTGGGTGAGGATCCAATCGAGCGTACGCTTCATTTCAATCGCAACTCATTTAGAAATACATATGTATGTATATAAACTACGAAATTGAAGAAAGAAAGCTTTCAATATGTTCTGGGGTTGACTAAATAAAATACATATTTTTTTTCTTGTTATTAATCAATGATTTGAACCCCAATTATGATTTGTGTTTCATTGCGGTTTTTTGTATTTTATTTTGTTTTTTTAAATTTGCTTATTGTCTTATTATTATTGCTCTTGTTTTATTGTCATAGCTGTTTTTTTAGGGAACTTTATTGAAAAAAAATTCACTACATTCCGTTTTATATTCTGTTCTCAATTCGATTGTATAGTTATATGTAGTTCATTTCTTTTCCTTAATTTTTTAACTCAGTTTTCATTGAAATCTTTTATTGTGTACACGCACGCTTCTATACTTAAAAAAAATAAATGAAAAATTTTATGTAAGTACATGTTTATATGCATACGTATTTATTGTTTTCATTTTAACGTAATATTTTATAATAATTGTTTGTAAAATTAAATAAAAGAAAATTATGATTCACAATTGTAAATTTATTATACATCATTGTATTGCATTTTGGATTAGGGAACTGCTTCAAATTAAACGAAAAATATGTAAATACATATGTAGATACATATTAGTTACTGAAGTAAAATTTTATCTCTAAGCGTCTACTAAAATTTCAAGTTGACGTTAAATCGGCATTTTGGTGAGACTCAATGAAATTTAATAAAATGTATTTTAATTATGTTTCTTATCATTGTTACTTTTTTTACAATATTAAAGATCACGACTTAATATTTGCAGAGAAATTTAAATACATAATTATCTTCAAAATTAAGCTATGTAAATATTTTTTTTAAATCAAAAGATCATATATGTAATCAAATATAATATATCTTTTATGTTTGTAAATTCCAATCGGATATACTACTGGTACACAATTTAGCTTATTTAAATGATTTCTTTTGTTGTAGAATGCAACTTATCCTGTGATTTCTGAGTTCACCCTGCAACGAAAATGTGCTTTGGTTCCATATTGCAAAAAATCCCTCATATTGTATAGTAAAAATCTTCCACATTGTCATATGTTTTAAATTGTGAAAAAATTTAATAACTGCAGCTAAAAAATTTTGGTTGCTTTTCAAAAACTATTTTACAAACCTCTGTTTTCAGAGTTCAGTGTATTTTCCTTTCGTATACAATTCAAAGATGGTAATATCAAAATTTTTTTAACAAAATTAATCAAAAGGATACTTTTCATGTCAGTATACCTGAAAAATAATCTTGAATTGCATATTGTTGTACACATCATTCAAATTCAATTTAATTATACCCGTACGAACGTATGCTCGAAGGGTATACTAAATTTGCCTTACCGTTTATAACGCTATGAAATGATGGTCTGAGATATTATGAGTAGTTTTAGCTTTTTCTGTTCGTCTGTCCGTCCATCCTGCCGTCGGCCAATGTGTTTGATAAAAATCGTTGAAATTGCTTGGCTTCTTCTGGTAGCTGCTATACAACTTCAAACGTTATTGGTCTATATCTTAGAAACTATAAAACCTGTGATACTTAAATTTCGCACAAACGATTATACCAGTAGGGCCAATATGTTATATAAATGTCGTTGAAATTACTCGGTTCTTTCTGATAGTAGCCATACAACTCCAAAAGTTATTTGGCATTATTTAAAAACAAAGTATATTATTTTTGTGAAAACAAGTGTATTATTAGGGCTGTTATGTGTGATAAAAATCATTGAAATTTCTTGACGCGTTGTGATAGCAGCCATACAACTTCTATAGTAGTTTGGCCATATCTTAGAAAATATTGAAAACACAGTACTGAAATTTTGCATAAATTAATATGCTAATACGGCAACTTAAAGTCATAGTCTGTCCCGTATTCAGCTAAGGCATACTTATTCGCACACAGAATAACAAATTCGTACTGGTAACTCTGTTTTTTCTCGTTTTTAAAAATTTTTAAATTTTCAAAAAATTATTTTTATTAAACAAATACAAGAGCTAAGATTAAATTTTATGGTACTGAAATTCTAATTCTTTCAAGTTTTGTTTTTTTTTGTCGTCTCCCCTTTATTTTTTTATTCCAAATTGACCACATGACCTATAAAAACAATAACTAAAAAAAACAAAAATCAATTGTTAATAAAATAAAAACTTAAATATATATGCGTTACGCGTGTATTCTGTTATTCTGTCAACAAATACAAAAATTAAATCGTTTTTAACACGTTCTGCAGGAAACATTATGGTTGGTACAGACAGGGATAACTACTGAAGTAATGAGAATGAAAGATACAGAAAGAATATTAACTTATATATGTATGTCGGAATAATAATTGAACAAAATTTCCAAAAAGTGAATAGAGAAGAATTTTGAAACATTGAAGGTCTTTTTAGTTTTTTTGATGCTCTTGTTCATTCTAAATTTCCTTATTTTTTTTTATTTAAACCAAAACTCATATTTTAAAATATGTACAAAAACTTTAAGAGCGCTAACTAAACTAAGTTTAATGCTTTGTGTCACAAACATGCATATAATTCATATATACATGTATGTATATGTTATGCACATACTACATAAAATATACTTGTATATATGAAATAAAATTTATTTTTCGTAACAATTTTTAACGAGTTTTTAACCTTAAAGACTTCTCTTCTCCTTTTTCTTTTCTTCAAAAAGCAAAAGTTTAACTAATTAACAGGTACATATTTTTATGTATAATTATTTTATTTACATATATTTATTAAACAAAACACTAATTCTTATTTCTTATTTCAGATTTCAACATTGAAAATAAAATCTAATTAAAATTATGTTTATTTATTTATAATTTAAGCACTTTTATTTTGTTTCACTATCTCCGCTTAATTCTTTTAATTTCTTCCTATGGTCTGAAGGGCTTAATAGTTCTACATTTTAAAATTAATTTAGAATTTTTCTTTTTTTTCTATCTTAAATTTCAAATTATTTGTTTCAGATTTAACAAATTTTTTTAATTAAAATTTTCTCATAATATAAATGTATTAAATTTTATTCAAAATATAAAAATTATCTCTGGTGGTGGTAAAAAGAAGCGAAAACTTTTACTAACATTAAATTCAAAAATTACAAAAAATGAAAAACAAAAACAAAAAATAAAAATAAGTAATAAAAAAACAGAAATTTTGAAGAATTTCTAATGTAGTGTACACAAAAAATAGAGTAGTGTATTTTATTCACTTTTATAAAATTACAATAAAGGTGTTGGTTAAAGCAACGTAAAAATTGTAAAAAAAACTTGCAAAAAATTACAAATTAGCGTTTATTTTCGGAGTTCTATTGCGAACTCGTTATTATTAAGGAGATAAGCAACCGTTTTTCAAAAATCTCAAAAAAAAAACAAAAATAGCATCAAAAAAGGTGAATCAAACATCGAGAATGGACTTATCGAAAAAGAAATATGTAAAAAAACAGAAATTTTGAAGAATTTCTAATGTAGTGTACACAAAAAATAGAGTAGTGTATTTTATTCACTTTTATAAAATTACAATAAAGGTGTTGGTTAAAGCAACGTAAAAATTGTAAAAAAAACTTGCAAAAAATTACAAATTAGCGTTTATTTTCGGAGTTCTATTGCGAACTCGTTATTATTAAGGAGATAAGCAACCGTTTTTCAAAAATCTCAAAAAAAAAACAAAAATAGCATCAAAAAAGGTGAATCAAACATCGAGAATGGACTTATCGAAAAAGAAATATGTAGGAGAATTAAAAATTTGTTCTTCGTCTGGCAGTGGTGATGCAAATGACAGTGCAGTTTCGATATCTGATTCATCAGAACAATCATCAATACAAAATTTATCATCTAGAATTTCTTCAAGTGAAAATGATTCTTTAATTAGTACAACCACTGCAACAAATATATCAACGAGATCATCAAAAAGAAAAAAAAATACGTCACCAAAGTCACCGGTTAAACCTAAAAAAATACCAAATATTAAGAGCAATAAGCAACGACAACATTTACTAAGTTCAACAAAGTCTAATCCAAATACAGAAAATAAAAAATTAAAAAAAGATTCTTTATGTTTAAGTAAAAATAAAAAATCAACACAAAATTTGAAAAGCCCTACCATTAAGTCATCATATTTAGAAGAAAGAAATCCCACAACACTTGAAACAAAATCTTCGCTATCTTCTAATATACAAGAGGTTAGCTCACAAATTGATAATAATTTACAATCAGCAATAAATAAGTACAATGGGGATTCAATTGTTACAACATCACCGTCATCAAAAATTTTAAAGGTTAAAAAAGAAAAAAAGCGGTATATTTGTCATATATGCGACAGAAATTTTCTAGGTATAACCGATTTAAAACGACATCTATTAGTTCATACTGGTGAGAAACCGCATAAATGTCCAAATTGTGATAAAACATTTCGCCAAACAGTTTGTTTAAAAAATCATATCGCTGCTGTTCATTCAAATGACTTTAAATTTAAGTGTCCAAAATGTCCCAAAAAATTTCCAATAAAATTTCGTTTAAGATTACATATGCGAGTGCATTCTGGTGAAAAACCTTACAAATGTCCAAAATGTCCTAAAACATTCGCAAGAGATGGACAAGTAAGTAATTTTTAAAATTATTTTTTTTGCACTATAATCTATTATAGTCAAAAAATTTGAATTAGTTTGATTTATATATGTAACTTTGCAGGTCCATCCAATAGCATATTACAATAAAATAATTTAATATACTTATGTAAATTAATGAACTTATTTCTTAATTTATAACGTTTATTGCTATTACTGCAACATATTTCTTTTTGAAAGTCTAATTGCAAACGATTATTGATAAAATTTTATTTTTTGATTTTTCTTTGGTCGTTATAAAAGTACTCCTAAAGCTAAATTATGTAACATATAAATATTGCATATAAGGTTCTAAAATTTTATTATATTAATCTTGGCAGTTTACTCAAATTTCTTATAATATAATAGTTATTTAGTAGCTAATGCCATATTTTTGCTATGAATTTTAGTTAAGACAGCATAAAGTAACTCATACCGATGATTATCATAAATGTATAACATGTGATGAAGCATTCGACACAAAACCAGATTTAAGAAAACATATGCAAACTCATATTAAACAAGATCATATATGTCAAATATGTATGAAAACATTTTCGCAACCAGATCTTCTACGTGGTCATCTATTTCGTATACATGCAAATTTAAAATTTTGCACAATATGTAATAAAGCATTGAAGGGACACCTATCACAACATTTAAAATTACATGCAAATGAAAAGCCATTTACATGTGATATTTGTGAAGCGCAATTTTCACAAAAATCACAACTGAATGTTCATCAGCGAATGCATTCAGGAGAAAGACCATATAAATGTCAAGTAAGTAAAATACTCTTGAAATGTTTTTGTTTTAATACTCTTATTATTTCTGTTTTAAATTTAAAAAATTTTTGAAGGTTTGCTGGCAAGCTTTTGCGCATAGTACAGTTTTAAAATTACATATAAGAAAGCATACTGGGGAAAAGCCATTTGCTTGTTATTTATGTAAAACTATGGGAATTGCATTTTCACAATTAGCACATTTAAAAACACATATGCGTACTATACATCAAACAACAAAACCATATGTATGTGAAGGTTGTATTGGATTTTTTAAAATAAAATGTGAATTGGAGAAACATCAAAAAAAATGTAAAAAATATCAAGAAATAAAACAGCGTAATGAAAATTTAAAAGTCACTGACGAAACATCATCGTCATCATCTCCATTATCTTTTGATGCACAAGGAATCGCTAATACTAACACTTGCGGCAATATTGAACAGCAAAAATTATCAAAACTTCGTTTACTAATTGCAATTCTATTAAAGAAAATTTCAAGTGAAGAACGTCTCAAGCAATTAGGTTTTGAAAAACGTTTAATTGATAATGTTGTTATATCAGCTTTGAAATTAGCTTCAAAAAAATATCACGACGAACCGAATTTAGATGAACTTACACGTTTGCGAATGAATATCGAAGAATTTTTAAAATGGACTGTACCACCAGCCATAATGTCAATTATAAGAAAAGATAAAAATTCTGTTGAAGAACTTTTAGAAAATATTGTATCAGCATATCCACAAGGATAAAAACTTTAAAAACAGAAAACTAGAATGGTTGTTTATCTTATAATTCCTTAATTCTAATATTTTGAAATATAGTATATTAATTATAATATTTTCAAAATCTTAAATATTAATTGGTATTTTTTTCAAAATACAATTTTTTTTTCATAATGCAAATTGGAAACCAAAAACAGTTAGAAAAAAATTTAGGTGACAATCATATCGAATTTATAAAATCAAATTTAAAAAGCTTTCGAATTTATATTCATTCTCAAAAGTATACATCGGATTATTTACTATAATTTTGACATACGATATAAAAATAATTCTTTTTTAATTTTATAAAATAATTTTAGTACATTGCTTGCTTATTAGTGAGTATTAAAATACTATATTTCAAAATATTGCTATAATTAATATTACATTTTCTAACTTAATAAATATTATTAACCAATAAAGTGGGAATTGGGTTTAAATATCTGCAATCTGATTTAAAATATTAATTTTATTTCCAAAGATTTTAATTGTGCCATCTTTTTTTCTTTTAAATTTTATTTTTTCTTTTTTTAATGCATGAACTAGAAAATATGCATGTTTTATTAATTTTGAAACCAAAAAAAATTAGGAATTAATTTCGTTACATTAATTGTAAGTTAAGTTGTAAGCTTAAATTTAAATAAGCCATACCAAATGAAATAGGAAAAAAAATGTTTTTTAATCTAAAATTTAAAATTAATAAATAAAACTAAAAATGAGTAGAGGGTTAGAATTTTAAGCTATTTAGAATTCAATTTTAGAATTTATAATTTTATATTATCATTAAACCAAATTCATCAGATTATAAATAAAATTTTTTTCTATACCTTACCAAATAAATTGTAAATTTGGGCAATCTGTTAGAATAAAAGGAATCAGAAGATTAAATTATTTATTAATATTAAATTAAAAACTAAAATGATAATATGTATTAATTTATTTCAAACTGATATTTTTTATACTAATATAAAGGGTTTGAATTCGGGTTATAAGGTTTGTAAACTTGTAAACCATTATGTAAATTATTTATAGAATAATTCTTAAAGAAAAAAATAATTAATTATACGCACTAAACATTTGAATTTCGCACTTTAAATTTGAACATACAAAAATATAAACAAAAATTTATTTAAATTAATTTTTTTTATTATTTATTAATATAAGTAATTATTTGTTGATTAAATTTAATATTAAATAATTACATTAAATGTTCAAGTTCATTTAAATACAATTAAATATTTAATGTAATAAGCAGTATAGTCTCACTATAGCTTTTAAATATTTTGGCGTATTTGATGATCATACGATTTCACAGATATTATTACATTTTTGATAAACATTAAATCATCTGAAAAAATTTTTTGTAGTCATAAAAATTTTAAAGTAAAAAATCAATTGTTTTTTTTTTAAATGACAAAAAATCATAATTATTTTTGTTAGTGAATGAGAAATTTATTGAAATTTAATTGATGCGTATCAAGCAGTTTTATTACTTGGTGAACTTAAATCTGAAAACGTGTTTACAAAATATTTTTGCATTTATAATAATCTTGTACTTTATCGACATAAACTTCGTTCAACCCTTGAAATAAAATAAAAAAAGTAATAAAAACCATTAAACTTAATTGTAAGCTATATTATTTTCTTGCTATCATTATTAATGTAGAATTACTTATTTTAAATTAAAAAGCATTTATCAATTACAAAACCAAAAACTTTACGCCAATGAATACTTTTATGTTACTTTTTTTTGTATAATTTAAGAAATTTAAATACGATTTCATTAAATAGTAAGGATAACGTTTGTTAAGTGTTTTTAGAAAATCCTTGTTCTAATACATTTTATATCTTGCCATCAGTTAATTATACATCATATAATACAATTGCATGTAAAACAATATATTATGTCTGTACATAGAATTAAACCCACCATTTTCTAAAATATTTTTTTTTAAATACTGAATTAAATAAAAATGTTAAAATAATATATTTGTTTTATTTGTCAATCTTTCTTTTATTCATCTGCCAGTTCCTCAGTCCTAACCAATGCAAGCACATGAACCACACTATTGTAATCAGGCAGTCTAACAGATATTTTATCTCCAGGTTCAGCTGGTCAGAAAATACTCCACAACTAATCATTCCTCTAAGAATCAGTACAGCATAATCCACCAAAAAGTTTGATTCCGGCATCAAAAAGTTCGTTCAGACAGTTACATAATATAAAATCCCTAAGTTCAAAAATACAATATAAAAGATTTTAAAACAGTATATTGTTTTAAGTCACAAAGTTTTTAATAGCACAGCATTGTAAACTTTTAAAGTAAAGCTTTTGCTGCCTTTTTGAAGATGAAATTGACAATGCATACATTTTATTTTTGTACGAATACTATTTTTTCTCGAAAATGTGATCGAAATTTGTTTTTGTTCTTGTTTTTTACTTATGTGTTATTTTTTTTTTGTTGATAATTAGAAAGAAATAAATAAAAAATAAATTTTATTAAAAAAAAATTTTTTTTAAAAGTCAATAGGTATATCTGGAAATCGAAAAAAAACATGCAACTTAATCTTGTACGAATAATTTTTTGTACCATGTACATATTTATACATACATACATATATTTTCTCGTTTGGTTTTCAAAAGCAATAATTTGATAAAATCAAACCCCCATACATATATACAGGGTGATTCAGAAAGCTATGCAACAACATACATATACCATTGGTTAAATGATCGAAAATGGGTAAAACGTTTGTTCCGCAAACAAAATTTTTCCTTATCCAAATTTTTTGGATTATAACTTCCATTCTGAAAAAGATAATAACTTCAAACAAACAGTTTCGGAAAAGCTTAATAAAGGACTTAAAATAGAAATGCTGCTTGATTCTATATTTTATGTACCTTCGGAATACCAAGCATTCGAACTTTAAAGAAAATAATATTTGTTCCTTGATTTTTTCAGTTTTTCTAATTAGATAATTTAATAAGAAACTTTTTAAAACCTTGAAATTTTTTTTATTTTTCCCAGCTGCTTCAGATTTAGTTAAAATCCTCAAACATGAAAAATATTTTTATGGTACAGAAGATACAACACAAAAAACATTTCCATCTCAAGATTTTAAAAGGCCCTATTTTTCACAATTTTTGATTTTTTTTATTTTAAGCGCCGTAATTATCAATTATTATTTTTTTTTATTACAAGAGTCACTCGGAAAAAAACAGTTCGCATTTTGAAGAATTTTAGTGCTTTTATTGAAATGTAACAAATAATAACAAAATTGAAACGAAATTTTATACTAAACTTTTAATTTGAAAAACAAAAATTAATATTAAAAAATTTGAAATTTTTGAAAAGAAAAACTAGAATTTTGTATTAGGAAAAACAAAAAAAAATCTAGTAATCAAAAAATTTTTTTCGAAACTTTTCTTGGTAAAAAAAATTGATTAGTTTTTTATTTTTGCCAATTTTTGTAAGAAATGGTACCTATATGGTTTGAAATTTTTAAATGCATTTTTCTCACATTGGGTGCATTTTAAAAATTTGAAAAAAATATTTTCGAAGTCTAGACACCATTTAGCATCTGAAGTTATTAAAATTATCCAGATGGAACGAATTTTTAAAGTCATGCCATATAAAATTTGACATTTATTTTAAAAGCAAAAAAATTTTTTTAATATAAAAATTTAATTTTTTTGAACAAAATGGAGTTTATAAATTATATGGTATTAATATTACGAAGCTAATAAATAAATAAATTAATGGGATTAATAAATTGGCATAAGGTTGATGCAACTAAATGGTGTTCCAGTAAAACAATTAATTTGATATATGCGATTGAATAGAAATAGATTTGAAAGAAGAAAAACATATATTTTTCCCGAATTAGGTGAATTTCCTAGGAGAATTTGGTGTTTGTTTTGAGAAATTTGTAAATTTTTTGGGTAAGGAATTCTTATTATTCTTAATTTTTTGATAAAGGAATATTAAATATAATTTTTTAATTTAATTTTAGTTTTATCAATATCTGGTTTGATTTTAATTGAATTTGTTGCCCACAAATATTTGTGGTTTTTGTACTATATCTTGTGTACCATAAACAATTTTTTAATGTTTAAGGGCTTAATTTAAAGTTTAAGTAACTGGGAAAAAAATTTAAAGATTTAAAAAATTTTCTTACGAAATTATTTTGTAACTGGAAAAATAAAACAAGGGAAAGATTTGATTTTCCCTAAAGCTTGAATGCTTGGTATTCCGAAGGTACATAAAATACAGAATCAAGCAGCATGTCTATTTTAAGTTCTTTACTAGGCCTTTTAGAAACTATTTTTTTTGAAGTTCCTATCTTTTTCAGAATGGAAGTTCTAATCCAAAATACTTGGACAAGTAAAAATTTCGTGAAAAATCGTTTCGGAAACCCTTGAGATCTACCAGTCACCCAGTCCTATCTGTAAAGCAGGTTCATAAGATTCTACAAATTAATGTAAAAAATATTGATTGTTTAATATTAATCAAAGAGTGAAAAAAACGAACCAAAAACAATTCTTTAAATAAATTAACGGACAACAACCGCGTAATTGCTAAAGAGATACGAAAATTTAGTGGTTTTTGCAAAAACGCAGATTAAGTATGGCCATTTAGTTTCGAATATGTACATACTTACATACAAGAATATTTTCACAAATATATGTGTTTAACATTCTAAACAAGATCTTTTATTCGTTTTTAAATCTCTTTTAATAATTTTTTTATTTTTATATTTTTATACAAAATGTCATGTTGCAACACAAGTTCAATGTTCTTACAAATATTGTCGACTTTCAGTAACTGTAACTAAAATCTTCATTTGTAGATGGAAAGCGAGGGGGAAGGGAAAAAGGGAGAAAAAGATAATATTATTAGAAACAATTTAAGATTAATAGGTAAATATCAATTTAGGAATCTGAAGTATCTGAAACTAACCTAAGACCTTAAGTCCAAGCCGAGGCCTACTCTCATAAGGGGACAGCCTAAACGGATTCCACCAATCGATGACACGAAGAGCATAAAGATTCGTGAAAGAAACGGAACGGAATTCATTAAATTCCCTACACCATCTTGTGATAAAATCAAAAGTTGAATTCGCCCTTGGAAATGGGTCTTAATATCGCGCCTACAATCCAACGTAACATCTAGGTCACAAATTTGATGAATTCTTTCCAGAATTCCAGCTTTCAAAAGAAAGTAAAATTCTTAAAATACATACAAAAAAGCGAAAAAACAAGAAGCACAACATTCGCCTTCAACATTTTATATGGTACTAAAAGCACTTAATTTTTTTGAGTGAACAGCTTTTTTTCTCATAAGGTATGGAAACTCAAGATATGGGAAGTAACTGTAGTGTCAAGTTGAAAATATAATTATTGAAAGGATAATTATTAAATATTGACATGAATACATAGTAAAGAAAAAATTTGAAGACGGAATTAGAAAATAATATATAAAATACACTTCAAATTTTACATACACTTCCAAAATTTTACCTCTATTTTTATTTGAGAAAAATTTTTAAAACTTGTTATATTACCTGAGTAAAAAAATATTTTTACTTAAAATACTGCTATTAAGATTTATACACATTCAGGACCATTTTAAAAATAGATTACTCTTGTTTACTTGCCATTAAAATATGAAAGAAGAGCGCAACATACTTCTTTAAGCACTCAATATAACATGTTTGAAATAGTTTTAAAATAATTATTTTAAAAAAAAATTTATTGGAAGTAGGTACATACATATTTATTTTAAATAACTTAAAAACTAATTGAAATTATTTGAAACAATTCTATAAGTAACGTATAAATAACCAAAATGAAATAACTCAAGTTGTTGAAATATGTCAACCTATATTATTTTATTAACATTTTTGTTAGCCGTCACTATACAACTTACCTTTTATCATTTTTTCATTCATACACGCCCTGGCTGTCATGCGGACAGAATATATCGGCCAAATGATCCGCAAACGCATTTGCCTTGTCCTTGTCAGTTTTTGCCCACGTTCCATCTTTGTTTTTAATAGGAGCGAGATGTTTGATAGGTTGCTTCATTTTCTTTGTTGCCCTCCACAGTGAGTAATTGGTTTTCTCACGCGCCGTCAAATTTTGAACACAATTAGCAACCGAATTCTCTTTGTATTTTCTAATACAGCGTCTTAGTTGCTGCGATTCACGATTATATCTGGTTTTATCAGTAGGATCACGCGTTTGCTGCCACCTTTTTCTCGCCCGCCTGCTTCGTCTCACTTTTTCTAGTATATGTGGAGGATAGTTAATGCCCACCCTTCTAATAACATTAATTTTGGAATTACTCCAGGCCCCGAATATAAATCTATCGCCTAGGTCTGTCAGAGCGTTTTGAAACATTTCTGCCGTAATTTCAAATCTGTGGTGACAATATAATGCAGCCACTCCAAATTTTTGCTTAGTCGAAGTGATCTGAACCGCTGTCATTTGCATCTCCTCGGTTTGCATCTGGTGCAGAAACGCACCACATTTTCTTTTGTTATTATCGCCGTTCGCCCTTCGCTATATTTCCAGTGTGATTCGAGTTGTAAATTCTATAACCTGGAAACTGAATCCTGCTACTTAAGGTCATATGTGTTTCAGTTACGAGGCACACGTCTATATTCTGTGTATGGAGAAAAACTTCAAGCACGTCCTTTTTATTTGCCATACCATTGCAATTCCATGTTGCTATTTTAAAATTACCTCGTGCCATCATTTACCAGGTCTTTTGGTATTCGAGTTTTTCGCTTAGCTCTCTAAAATGCTCAATCTCTGAGAGATTTTGTCCATCATATCTAGCATGTTCTGCATCATATTTTGCATTTTATACAAAACATTCACGCCACTGGCCCTTGCTTTATTGCTTGTGCCACCGTCATCAGTTTTCGTTTGGAGAACGTCCTTGTATGTTACATCTTTTCAGAATTCTTCAAGTTGTTGTTGCTGTTCTTATTTCTACGTTTTTGCAGTTCCTTAGCTACAAGGCATCCCCTATAGTTTGCAGGGTGGGCCTCCAAGCAATTGGAACACTTTGCTGCAGTACTCTTTGGCTTGCTACAATTTGATGTTAAGTGCCTGCCTGCACATTTAACACAATTCGGTTCTCTCTGGCAAAATTTTTGTGTATGCCCATACCTTTGATACCTTTTACTCTGCGGAATGGTCCTATCCTTTCGAAGTGCCTCTATCCTAACTTTCATCCTGTTTATGTGATCGATTTCATAAATTTTTTTCATTTTCTCCCCATTTGAGAATGTTAACATAAACAGCGGTAGAGGCACCATAATGTTTTTCCCATTTTCTTTTATTTTTTTAATTTTATTGGTTACATCTAAGATCTTGTAACCCCTAGAGCTTAGGTCTTCCTTTATATCTTCCGGTTTACAACTGGGGTGAAGATTTCTTAACATGGCTTTTATTGGTCTGGTCTGGTTGTTTTCATAGGTATGCCATTCTAGTCCAGATCCATTCATGGCTCTGGTAAGATTTCTGTAGTCCTTTTCGGAATTTACAATAAGCTTAAATTGATTGTTATTCATCATTTTAACCTTATAATTGATGTCCTTCTTTTTCAATGTTGACTCTATTTGATTATAATTAACCACATTACTTATGACTACTGGAGGCGGCCTAGAGTTTTTCGCGATATCGCCTCGACCTTTAGAATCAGGAACATCCGCTTTCACGGCGTTGATCGTCACCTGAACCACTTCCGGGGATGATTCCGCTTTTCTTTTTTACTGGACCTCTTTTGCTTTAGGACCCAATCTGTTTCTCTGGCGAGTTCTTCCTCATCTGTTGAGTAGGCGTCCTCAGTTGAAGAACCTCGTTTTTTAAAGCCACACAGAGCTGTTCTAGTTGGCTAATCCTTTTATGTATGTCAGTATCATCACTTTTTTTGGCTTGAGCTGTACTCATGCTTATATCCTTATTGGTCTGTGGAGCTTGAGTGTTCGGTTGTCCACCTTCTATATTTTTATTCTTTTCTAAAATCAGCACATCAGATGTAGGTGGTAAACGCCGGGTTTTCGCGTTCCTCCTGAACGGATCCATCAAATGCAATAAATGGCTTTCCCCAGAATCTGTAGAGCCGACCTCCGATGAGGGTGGATTCTCTAACGTAGTTGAATTACTACCTGGGGTACTAAATCCTTTTGTTTTGTCCATTGCACAAATGATTAAATTCTGCATTTTATACCTACTACTAGGATTCAAAAACTGCCGTCCCTCATGGATCAGACGCAGACCAGGAAGCCGCCTATTCCAGGTCAAACGCTTCTGGATTTACCGCCCGCGCGCTTCCTAACCAGCGAAACCAGGATTAAGCGCCGAGTACTCGCTTTCACCCGCTCTCGTCAACCTTACTAAGTAAGTTGCCCAGGAGACAACCCGCAGATAACTATGTTACCTACCTTCTAAGAGGTGAGAGTCGGATTTGTTGGCAAAGCTGATGTTTTCAGAGGGCATTTTCTAGCATTTTTAGCTTCACATGTTAGGAAAATGTGAGACTGACTAGGACCCATGCCAACCCTTGTCCCACTTTTAAATGTAATTTTAAAGGTATTTTTTAGTTTAGGCATTGTAACTTTAAAGGAGTTTATAATCAATATTATGTACATTTTGAATATACTCATGGTATTGATTATAAACTCATATAGTTGTCAAAACCATTGCTATTTGATGCAACAAAAACTCAAATAAAAAAAGAGAAAGAAGAGTAACAATGTAAGTATAAATTTAAGTATGCATTCATAATTTTATACAAATTTTTATTTGTAAAAACTTTTAAGTGCTATATAAAAATTTAGAACAGTCATTTTATTCTAGCTAAATTGGACGACCAATGTTCCATAGTCACTGCCGTTCCCTGCCGTATAGTGTTCGGATGCATCGACGGTATGAAGAAAAGAAACGGCAAACGATTTTTATTTTAATCATCGAGTACAAAGACAGGCGGAGCCAAACTGTCATCAGATCTATCAATAGCGGGGGACTTTAGACCAACCTCAAATGCATCTGGAAGGTCATAAACTCCCAAAACTAATCAAACTTGCCCTACGTTTTCTGGTACAGTTCCTTTTTTCCTGACTCACTAGGGGGATACCCAGGTCCCTAGGAATGTAAACCTATAAGCCAATAGTTTTCTCTATATTTGTTTTCTAATTATATTCTTTTCTTCTTTACATGTTCTTTTTATCTGAACTTGAAATCCAAAATCATACCAGGATATTTCACTATCTTTTGGATTGATGCTTTCAAACTCAATTATGGTGAGTTCACTAAATTTTTCCCTAAGCGTAGAGTACTCCTCGTCCTGTTTCATTCGAAAAAGGTAACATAAATACGACTCAGGTAACTCCACGAATTGCAAAGTTATTAACTTCTTAAGTTTAAATAATGAACCGTCGTGCCAAACCTTTACGAACGCCTGGACCACTCGTTTTCAAACTACAGCCTGTTTAAAAAAAAAGGTATCTAACTTTGCTTGCACATAAATAAATACTTATAACTTCGTAACCATACAACATAGAGTTACCATCAGGGGCTTTACAAGCGATTAACTGTTTATTATTTTTGGTATTGCAATTACTTTGATTTGAGACATAGTTTTCGAAATACAGCTCGTCAAAGTTAGAAATTTTGTATTTTTTTTTTATTTTTTTTAGCTTGTTTTTGACCGCAAAATATTCCAGTAGAATGTAAGAATGTCAGCTGTTTTTTACTTTTAAGCGAAAAGTATTTTTTGTACTGCCAGTTTATACTACTATAGTTACACTATAGTCCCCCTTTTTGTGCGACCGGTTTTTTTAACAGCTGTCAATAGTAGACAAACAAAAAAAGCTCAAAAATTCGAGTTATGGACAAAAATATAGAGTTCTCCTTTTCCTTATTGCTTTTCTTTTTATTTGAAATATCTACAATCTAAAGCATTCTGTCTGTTGCATTTCAAATTTAAACTACGATTTGTAATCGAAGTCAGATTTTGACATCAGATAAAATCTGACGACAATTAAAATAGAAACATATTTGACTATCATCAGATTGTCAGATATTTCAAAATAAATGGCAGAAAAGAAATTTTTAAAAAAGTTTTTGCACGATCAGCTGAATTTTTTTTAACTTTTTTTGCCAGTTTTAGATTACAAATGTCAAAAGTTTTATATAAATAGTTTGATAGTTAGTATAAATAGAATCTGATATGTAAATGCCTATAACATATTATCGTAGACCTAGCATATTCTTTTTACCAATTTATGCTTTTTGCAAAAAAAAAAATTTTAACTTTTCGTTTCATATTATCCCTTTTATTTACTTTGACATTTTTTGTATGAATAATTACAACACATATAAATGTCGATAGTTGGTAACAGTGTTCTCGAGAATCGTTCTTTTAAAAGCACGTGGTTGTCAAATATTCATTAAATTTGAAGTAGCTGTCGTTTAGATATTTAGAATCAAAATTTAAATCATGTATTCATGTCATTTAAAGAAATACTGCTGTTGTGTATAAACATTTTGCTCTTATACATATGTTAGCTTACAGTGTTGTGTAAAACAAATTAAATTGAATCGTTTTGCAAACAGTTATGAAAGTGATAAAGTTATTTTTCTGTTTAAATATTTCAGAAAAAAGCAAACTAGTTTTTTGTAGTTGCTTCCGATGAAGGCTTCTTTTGATATATTTGAATAATTATTTAAATCACCTGGTAAGTAATTTTTGGTGATCCTTAAGGATAATTTATTGTTTCGTATATTGTTCATAATTATCCTTGCGATTAATAAATTTGCTCTCGACACAAAAAAATTTAAAAAATAAATTTTAGATACGTACGTAAATGTTAAATTAAAATGTATTTACATGCATGTGATAATGATTGATATGGAATTAAATTTAACTAGAATATTAAGCGTCTGTCCGGCATTTTGTTTTTAAATAGTACAAAGTTTCTTACTATTTACTTAATTTCAAAGAACATTTACTTTAATTTCAAAATTGTGTGAAACATAATTTTAAATACGTGCATGTACATATCTTGCATGTTGTACATATATTGTACATACCTACATACGTGTTTTTTTCGTAATAAAATGTAAATTATGGTGTTAGATTTCCGATTTAGCGCAGCTGTCTCAATCATGTACATACACACAAAAGGATATAATATACGTATATTTTCGTTTTGATCGAGGATCTAGTAACTAGGAATGATGGTAGTTACATATATCTGTATTATTGGTGTCGGCTTCGCTTCTAATATTTTATATAAGTAGCTACATGCACACGTATACATTACCTTATATAAAAAAAAATACAGTTTTTTCCTACAAAGAAGATTCTATTACGTTATACTAATAATTCAAAAATACCTTTATAAATTGCTGTTTTCTGTAAAAATAGCTATTTATTATTCTGGTAAAGTACATTGTGGTTTGATAAAATAAAGTGTGTGCAACCAATGTAGCTACACATGCGCATATGTACATATATGTATGTAAGTACATAGTTCAGTATATACCTACATGATATGTTTGAATTCATTGCAAATAAATAAGTATTTAGTTACATACATATATAAGGAAAAATTAGTATTTAAAAGGTTTTCAAAAATTATTAAATAGATTTACAGATGGCTACCAGGCGTCCACGAATTAAGCCCGTTGCTAATATTAGCTCTATCAAAAGGAAAGTGAAAAGAAGTTTGGATTCAAATACATCGGAAAATCTAATAAAAGAATCGGAAGAGAAATATGACATTGAAATGAGTATTAAAAAAGATTGCTTGTTCATCAAACATGAGGGTATAACAAGCGACAATCAATTCTCTATACCTTTAGAGCCGGATTCTGTTCAAATTGAAGGTGCTAGTTTACAAAAAAATCGAAATAATACAGGTAAAATTGCAGATAATACAAATGCTGGTGAAAATATTCAAAAACCAAGACAGCGCATTCGAGCAACGCCGTGCTTTGATATTCGTCGTAATAGTGTTACAAATTCGACTTCTGCTGTTTTGTTGCCGCAAAGCTCCAATTCTGTTTCCAATAATAATGTATTTTTCAATCAAGATGCAGATAAATCACCAAAAAAAGATAATATGTTATCAAAGCAATGCAATACCTCTGGTAATCGCACACCTAACAACACAAGAGTTCATAGGTATTCGGAATCATCTGGTGGGGGATTTTTATCCCCAATAAGTGTACAGTATAATCCCCCAAATTTTCTTCCTAATCAAAATCAATTGAATCAACACTTACCAAGTGACGGTAATTCCAATATTATACCTTCTAGAGAGCATATACAACAACCACCTCAACGATATAGAAAAATTTCGTCAATGGAAGAAACACAAAAATTGTCAAGTGCTCGCAGAGAATTTCAAACTAAATATAGCCGAAAATCTCCTGAAAAATCTGAATTAACGCTTTGTGATTTCATTTTTTATAACCCCTCTTCTAACCCAATGGTTTTTGAAACTAAACATGAAAATTTAAATGAAAATGTAATAGAATCCGAAAATGTAATCCAAAAAGTAGAAAATAAAGAAGTGGAAAATGAAGATAAAGAGGAGGGCGAACGTGCACCGGTTCCGCAGTTAAAATTGGGTCCAAACGGAGAAATTATTCTAGACGAAAAGAGTCTTGTCATTGGTAATTTTACAAAAAAAACCTAATAAAATAATAAAATTTACAAAAAAATTTTTTTGGTCTATACATTTTAGAAACAACTGCTGAAAAACAGGCTAAATCAGCTTTAGCAGCTTCGAAATCTGCAATATATTTGGATGAGTATAGTGGTAATAATGGATTTTATTCAAGGCAAAAAAGAACAAAAGATTGGACACCAGAGGAAACTATAAAATTTTATAGATGCCTTCATACAATTGGAACCGATTTTTCAATGATGTTATCGTTATTTCCAAACAGATCACGAAGAGATTTGAAATTAAAATTTAAGAAAGAGGAACGGAATAATGTAGTTTTGATAAACAAAGCCTTATTACATCCAAATACTTTCGATATTGATAGTTTGAAAAACGAATTACAAAAAGAAGAAGATATTGCCAAAGAAAAACGAAAAGCTGAAACTAATCGAGTTTTAAAATTACAAAAGAAACTCGAAAGTAAATGCTTAAATAGTGAAGCAGATGATAAAGCTAGTAAGGGAAGTTCACTCTATAGTCGTACAAAAAATGCTTTAAGTCGTGGTAATTTGGTTTATGAATTAGAGGGAACAAACATGATATCAAACGTTACAAGAAAAAAAAGCGGTTGCAATATTAAAAAGGACGCGGAAAATATAAATTATGAACAAATAGAGTCTACAATAAAAGATGAAAATTATGTATTACCAGAAAAAATTGATCAATTTGTTGAATCAAATGATACAATTTCAAATGACAATTATCAAACGATATCATTTCAACAACAGACAATATCAAACGATAATATTTCAACAACGGAAACTGATTTGGATGATATTGCTTCAGTTTATTCAACAAATGAGTTTGGCTATGACGAATTAACTGGCATTGAAATAACAGATATTGGCGATATTTTAACACTAGAAGATACTTTGCCAGAATTTAAAAATAGTACACTTGCTATAGTTTCGAAGCATGACAAAACTAGTCCAGAAAAAATTACGCATGGAATATATATTATATGCCGTTCTACCGGGATTATGAGTCAAAAACCTTTGGACTTACCAGAAGAAACTGTAAATTGTATTTTAAAAGCAATGGGCAAAATTTAGATGGAAATGTTTTTTTAAAGTGAAAATTATCGTTATCTATATTAATACTTATAAAAATATCCACATTTGAGAAATGGAAATTTATTTAAAAAATTAAACAGATGGTGTAGAGACAAAATTTTGAAAACATACTTAAAAATATTTGATTTAGATTTTCTGCTTTACAAATGCATTCAACCATTCCAGTCAGAAAATCAGAACTAAGTTATCGAACTAATAATTGAATGCAGCTCGTTTTTTTTGTGGGAAATTCGAAAACATTGCCGATTACGTTTTTTTTATCAAAAGTTTGATATAAAAAATTTAAATTTTTGGAAAACGAAAAACGAATCAATGTCTTGTTAAGGTACAGTTTCTGTTGCTATTTGTAACGATAAAATTGATTACATTTTTTTTTTATTTCAGGGATTAAATTGCAGCTTTATATACTCTTTGGATAGTTATGTACTTGTATGTAAGTACTTGGATTGATTATTATATGTACGTATTTGTTTCTGTATATAACAGTTATATTATTCTTAGTATTAAGAAAATTTTTGAAATTTGTCAATTTTTTTTTTTTAATTTTGTGCTTGGGAAAGATATTTTTAAATGAAATGTTTTTAATGAATTACTATAAAAATAGTTCATTATATTTAAACTAGAGTAAATAATTTGTAATCAAAAATATTAAGATTGAGAAGTTGTTCTATTAGGTTTTAATTTAAATTCAACAAAATTTTGAATCTTAATATTAAATTTGGTGATTTCTTGTTTATAAACCGAATAATATTATAATTTTTCATTAAATATTCAATTAACACTTGTAGTTGTAAATTACTATTACAATTTTATTTATATATTCATTTACAATTTAAGTTATAATTTTGAATTTAATTACATAAGCTGATTCAAGTAACCCGACGATAGCAACAATTCTTTAACCCTCTTTATAAGGTTTTTTATATTAGATATATTTTTTATGTTCTCAGGTAGCCGATTATATAATCTTGACCCTTTAACAGAAATTCTCTGAGAAGATAATGAAGTGCGACTCCTCCCACTATGTACATTATTTCTAAATCGCGTGTTAAAGGCATGATTGAATCTTGCAATAAAAGTAATATTTGTATGGCTATTGTTATTTATAATTTTGTATATACCCACAATTTGCTGAAATTGGTATATCTCTTTTAAGGTAAAACGCGATTCAAAGAATACAAATTATAGGTTTTATATAACAAAGGTAAATTAAAAATATTTAAAATTTTATTCTGTATTACCAATAACCTTCTTATAGCATCAAGTCCCCAAATTACAGCACCATAAGACAAAATTGAATGAATTAAAGCGTAATACATCTTCATTTTTACACATACAGCTATTTTATTCTTGTACTTGTACATAATTCCATTAAAAGCGCTTAATTTACTATTAATTCTTTCTATGTGTGAAAATCAATTTAAATTTTTATCAAATATTATACACAGAAATTTAACATCATCTACTTCACGCAATATATTATTTTGAAAATTGATGCACATGCTATCTAAATTTCTTTGACGCGTCCTAAAATTAATAATTTTGGTTATTGAAGCATTCATTTCTATCTTATTTATTCTAAATTATTCTGACAAAATAAATAAATCATGTCGTATTTGAGCTTCAACTTCCTTTAAATCATTACCAGGGAAAATAAACTACCGTCGTCAGCGAACAGAAATAATTTACCCATTAATGGTAATCTATGAATGTCATTAATAAATATTAAAAATAAAAGAGGTCCTAATATTGATCTTTGCGGTATACCAATATCAACATTCTTCATAGAAATTTTTGTTCCCCTAAAAACTACAAATTGCTTCCGATTTTGCAAGTAGCTGTTCATTAATATAATCGATCTAGCAGAGCAACCAAAATATCTTAATTTAGTGATAAGAATATCATGGTCAATAGTATCGAACGCCTTTCTTAAATTAATAAATACACATGCAACCATATTAAAATAAGATAATTTATCACATAACAAATCAATAACATCCACTAAAGCACTTTGGGTACCAATTCCCTTCTTAAATCCATATTGATAAGAGTACAAAATATTACTATTTAAATGATTTTCTAGATTTTTATACAATATAATCTTTTCAATAATCTTGGCAAACACTGATGGTACCGATATCGGTCGATAATTTGCAATATCAAATTTATTACCATCCTTAATATGTAGGTGTAACCTTCTGAATTTTTAATGTATCAGGATAGACGCCGGTAATTACAATTTTATTATACAGAGTTGACAAAATAGATGCAAAAATAGTAGAAGAATTTTTTATTACTTAAAGAGGAATATTATTCCAACCAACTGAATTTTTATTATTAAGATGCTTTAAAATATCAAGTAACCTCAGAAATGTTGCTCTCAGGAAAATCAAAGTTTGAATATTCATGATTGAGAGTCCCAAAAAGTTTACATCATTATAAGAAATGATTGGATATATTTCTACCTATACTAACAAAATAGTGGTTAAATTTATTTGCAATGTCAATAGGCTCATTTAAAAGAACTGCACCATCACCGTCTTTATCAAATAAATAAACGGTTTCCCTATTAACTCTTTCCGTAAAATCATTTAAAGTCCGCCAAAGATTTTTTTGGTCAGACCCACATGACTGTATACGGAAATGATAATATGTCCTTCTACAATTTCTTATAGAATGATTTACAACCTTTTTGATTCTTACGTAATCACTAAACAAATCAACATTATTAGGGTTTTTTTGTATGTTTTCCTCATTTTATCTCTTTCTCTAATTAAGTTTTTAAGACTATCATTTAACCATGGAGCAACTTGATCCCTTTTATTATAAGTAACAGCACTAGTATTTGTGTTAGTGCTGATAATACTTCCAATATCAGAAATCAAGTTATCACACATATCATTGACATTTATATCACAATAATTACCTATTGAAATTGTTGAATTAATTATACCTGCAACATTAGAAAAACTGGTTCTAGATTTTATAAATTGATGGTTCTTATAAATCTTAACAATATTGTTCAAATTTACCATGATAATATTATGATCACTTATATTATTTTTAATTGCACACACATTAATTGAGATTAAGTTGTGTTGCTGGTAATAATTAAAAGAAGAGAGAAATGATAAATAGTTGGTCTTTAGCGAATAATTATTGTAAAAATCCACATTATTATCGCCGGACATTATACCCGGGAAAGTCGGTATCTTATTTAACAACTTTTCAATAGTTACATATTAGAAAAGAATTAAAGCAACATTTTGGTGATCTATAATGTAAAACTATGCACAACCTTTTATTATACGAAATATCTAGTAATTTTAACGAAATAGCATTGCAATAATTATGGTTAATAACATTAATTTCCCCATAATTTAAAGATTCGTGTATGTGAATACTCACACCCCCATAAGAATCGTGGCGGCAATAATGTACTGCGATATAGTTCATTATATTATATAATTGAATCAACTTATCATCAAAGCAAGTCTCTTGAATCGTCAATATTTTTGGTAATTTTACATTAATATATCCATTTTCTTTTAAATAAAATCAAAAATGGTGTATTTGATAGTTATTGATCAGTGAACCTTGGTTGAACTAGTGCTTGATTTTGTTTGGGACGACCTGACAGAGCATGTCATCCGCCACTGGTTGGGGCATCGGCCACCAGTTACCCCTGTGTGCATCTGGCTGTCTCCCGGAGCTTCAGCCTGGGGTGGGTTAAATGGAAGCAGGTTACCACCAATGGCTACATATCATAACTAGAAAAAAAAATTATGCACACGTTGAAATAAAAAAATAAAAAAATTAGTGCGATTGCGAAAAAATAAAGTTGGATTTAGCTGGAACACCTTGTAGTGAACCAGAACGTGAAGCATTGCGATAGGGTGCACTACGCGGTACACTTATCTTTTGAGTAAAAACTTCCATCGAAATTTCTTCCTCTAACCTTAAAAACAACGCATGCTTTCCCAGATGCACGCAGGGTTGCCACTGGTAAAAGAAATTTGTAACCACTAAATAGCTAAAATAAACAAAGCTGTGAAAAGGTAATCAAAAAACAAAACTCTAACGTATATTAAATAATTATTATAAAAATTCACATTATTATCGCCGGACATTATACCCGGGAAAGTCGGTATCTTATTTAACAGCTTTTCAATAGTTATTAGAAAAGAATTAAAGCAACATTTTGGTTATTTTATAATGTGAAACTATGCACAAGCTCAGATGTTGCTGAGACTCCCACTATTTGCTCGAAAAAACCCCTAAATTTTAGACGCCCCAAAGGGGAAAGGAACTACAACTCCATCAATACTTTAATTCAAGCATAAATTAGAAAAAGAATAGTTTGTACACCCATTTAAGGTTTTTTTTGTATAATTTTAGGAAAATATGAATAAGTTTTAATAAGAAAAAAAAAAATTAAATTTTCTTTAAAGACTGTTTTCTTTCCTTTAAATTTATCCTACGATAAATAATTCATTTATTATATACTATGTTAACATTCTTTATTTAAGATCCATTTTTTTTAAGGTTATTAAATTATACAAAAAAAAATTCTGTTTAGGATTATTTCATAAAAAAAAGTAAATGAATTTTCCTTTTTTTTTCAAAAGTAATTTTTTTTGGTAAATTGTATGTACAAGGAAATTACACGAAGTCCTCGAGATACGACATTTTTGGTTCCAGAAATTTATGTCGTAACTCGAATTGTCGCTTGAAGCGGAAAAAAAATGTATGAAAACAAAAACTGAATTAGACAAACGATTGTTTATTATGATTGACATGTTTTTTAAAAAAAGTAACAAAAAAATAAAATAAAACCGAAAAAACAATAAAATATAATAACGAAACCAAAAAATCTAATTTTATAATCAAATTTAATTTAAACAAAAATTAATAAAATAAAATCTAATTAAGTTTATATATGTATATCACATCGATTCGTATTTTTAATTACTGACTATCATTTTTAACTAAAAAAAATTCATTAATTTTTTTTGTTTTAATTTGTTTTGCTGTAACTCATTGTACATTTCTTTGTACTGTGACACACTGTTCGAAATACTTTTAGAAGTAAGGTGAGATCTTTCGAAATTTGGGTCATATTTTTCAAAAATTTCTACAGCTCTGTTTAAATATTCCAATGCTTCTGCTAATTTCGAAAATTCAATTGTTTCTGAGCTGTTTTTTTCATTGTTAATATTTGATTATTCATCAGAACTATTTTCATCAACATTTTTTTCTAAAATGTCAATTAGATCTTGGGTTGACAGTGGTTCTTCGTTTGTGTTGATGAAATGTTGAATATCACTTTCACCAAAATTAGATAAACCAGCTTTTTCCGCTAAAAACATTATTTCTTTATTTAAATTAAAAACTTCATGTTCAGTTGGATATTCATTCATAAAAGATAGTGGCTTCCATCCGTTCTTCATTGTCGAAACCGTGACTTCATCCCAAGCTTTACTAATATTATCTATTCCGTTCTTTGTGTTAAAGCCTTTCCAAAAATTGTGAACCAAATTTTCGTTAACACTTTCGGTATCGTTTAATTTATCTATCAGCAATCTAATAGTATTACGTAAATATCTCCGCTTGAAACTTGAAATTATACCTTGGTCCATTGGTTGGATAAGAGAGGTGGTATTAGGTGGCAAAAAAATGATTCTTATATTCTCATCTGATTTTAATAAAAGTGAAGAGTGGCTTGGAGCATTATCTATTAATAATAATATATTAAAATTTAAATTTTCCTTTTTGCAGTATCTTTTTACAGTTGGATAAAAATAATTTTCGTACCAATCATTAAATATCACAGCTGTCATCCAATCTTTTTTATTCAAAGACCATTTGATAGGAAGTTTGTTTTTATTAAAATTTTTCAATGCTCGTGGATTCTGCGTTTTATTTATTAATAACGGTTTCAACTTTAAATAACCACTGGCATTGCCTCCCAATAATAAACCCTATTTTTCAAAATTTTATGCCCTTGAACTGCATTTGGATCCCCCTTAGTATAAGTACGGAGACCGGTTTTCTTCCAAAATAGCGCTGTCTCATCGACATTAAAAACTTGTTTTGGCGTATAATTTCCCTCAGTATTTGCTTAAAATCATCAATAAATTTGCTAGCAGCGTTAATATCAGCAGATGCGGATTCTCCTTTTATTCTTGCATTGTTTATGTAATGTCTTATTTCAAATTTTTGAAACCAACCGTTGCTGGCAACAAACGTTTCATTTCGAGTTGATTCTTCTTTTTCTTTAATGGTATCAAATAGCACTTCAAAGTGCTCTTTCCTTAATAGTTGATAAAGAAACTGATATATTTTTCGCATTTAAATCCTCTATCCAATAGCTCTTTAAAATAGTTAAAACTGTATTATGTTTTAAACAAAATCTCTGCTATTTCTGTAACCCTTGATTTTTCGTACATTTCTATAATTTCCTTTTTTGTTTGCAAGCTTATCTTTTTTTTAATTTTCTTTACGGAGTTCTTTGGCTTTCCCATTATTTCTTTTTTAGCTAAAAAATCATTTTAATTTAATTTAATATTTCAGGATAATAACAAATTTTTTTTAATTCACTTACAATAAATTTGAATATCAAATATGTGAATATATGTATATAAATGTTTAACCACTAATTTTGAAAAATTTTATTTGAAATTTGTAATGACAGTATTTTAATATTTTAAATATGACATTTAAATGTCAAAATGAAATATGTGCTTTAGACTTGCCGTTTAACTAAATTTGGTATAGATTTGTATTCAAAAATCGGTAAAACCTGTCAAAAAAATTAAAAAATTTTTAATGTCGTATCAGGAATAATGTCGCAATTCGAATAAAAATGGTCCAAATTTATATCGTGTCGTAATTCGAAATGTCGTATTAGAAGATGTCGTATCTCGAGGACTTAGTGTAATTAACTACACTAATTCAATATTGAATTTTCCTTTTCTTAAAGCTTAAAAAAAAATACTTATTTAAGACTTTTATTTCCATGGCAAAAAAAAAACTTTAATTTAAGATTGTAATAATTTCACTTGATTCGATATGAAATCGTGAAATTAACAATATTGAAATAAAAAAAAATTTAAAATGAAATGACCAAAACACCAACCGAAAGCTTGTGCTATTAATGCATGTGCAAATGATTAATGTATAGTATATAAAAAACTGTTTTTTTCTGGCCTTGAATGTAGATATTTATAAATACTAATTTTGAAAAATTAAAAATTAAATTAAATTTAATTTGTATTTTACAATGAAAAAAATTTACAATTTTTTTTCTTTTTCTACATTTATATTGTTTTTTTTTCTCTGTATGGTACCAATTAAAATTAAAAAAAAAATAAAATAAAAAAATTACGGACTGGGCCCAGTACATACAGGTGTGGCTTGCTTCCCATGTTTCGATGCGGGGTTCCTTCCTCCTTCTTCTTCTACCTTTTCTTATTTTTCAATTTTTTGGGTCCAAAAATAAATTTTATACTATTATTTTATTTTATATTTTATCTTATATTTTATTTCATATACTAATTTTAATATTTTTAAGTATGTTACATTTATTTTTCAAAGTTTAAAAACAAAATATTTATTTTTTTATATTATTATTATTTATTATTTTTTTTTATAATGTAGAATTAACTATCAAAAAAAAATTTTTTTATTTTTTTTTTTCTTTTTTTTTTCCAAAAAATCTATTTACTTTCTTCAATATCTTTTCACTATCTGACCAATTATTTTTTGAAATCAATTTAACACCAAGAAAAAAATTCCACCGCTCATACATACCCATAAAAAAAAAAACTCCAAATTCTTAACGGTAGAATCATATGATATTTAACTAGAAATTTTGATTTTAAAAAAAAATCGCAATAGAAAAAAAAACAACAACAATAAATTAGATCATGGCAAAAAAAATTTACATGATCCGACATTTAACCCTACACAGGATTCCACCTAATATTTAATACAATTTATTCCTATGTAATACAAACATGATCATACACACACCTATAATTCGGATTAGAATGGTATATGAGATATAAGGGCTAGCAAAGAATTAGAATATTTTAAACTGAAATGGAGAAAACTACAACAACAATTTGCATTATGCGTACAAGAAGAGAATGGAATGTAAAAGCAACAATTAAAAAAATTACAAAAACCAATAAAGTGCAAACATACTTATGCGTAAACATGCAAATCATCCCATGTGCGAATATACAAATTTTTTTTTTTGAATATGTATGTTTATGAATAACATACATATATGCATAGGTTATATCACAGACATCTTTATATAAGACTTGACAATAGACAATTTACTAAAACACTCATACGGTGTATTGAAAATTGATCATCGTACTTTTTGTTAAGGAATATATTTTATATTTTTCGAATAAATTAGAAATGTTCGTGGTGGGTGATTGGGATAACAAAATTTAGATTTGGATTGGAACAAAACGTAGGCATCTCTATCACTTATGTGCTCATAAAGTATAAATTCTTAGCATAGTAGGTAATTGGCTAAATTATATTTGTCACAGGCCAAAAAATGAACTTTAAAGTTCTTAGAAGTTAAAAATAACAACTTTAAAGCAAAAATATCATGATGAATATTTATCATCTTAAAACTTGTACTTATTCAATAACAAAATTATCACAAAAAATTTTTTAATTTTCTCTTATTAAAAGTTTGATCTTTATGCACATTATTGAAATCTTTACAATAATTAGCTAAAATTATATTTGCCACATGCATTTGTAGCATTTTAAAAATTTTTCAATATATGGTCTTCCACAATTGCAAATTTTGTCGGTTTCGATACAAAAATTTTTTTGTTGAATGCTTCTCAAAGTTAACTCTATTAAAATTTTTCTTTGATTAATTTAAAAAAAAAAGGTAGTATTAGGTTGTCACTTCTAATTATTTCTTGAAAAATAACGCACATATGAAAAAAAATTTGTTGTACCACTTCGGTTGGTTGAACCCGACCACCTCTTTGCAAATAGTCAAAATAAATTTCATCCACCTTGGCTCCAACATTATTAACAAATATTTTGTGGCACTCTTTGCAACTCTTTGCATCCTTCGACGCAACACCTTCTAGGCATCTCTATTTATATAAACGTAATTAAATACATTATTATATTATATAATTTACTTTATACAACAATTTTAAAAAATGCACCAAATCTTACCGATTTTTTAGTCAATTTTTTTTTTTAAAAAAACTTTGGAATAATTTTTTTAAAAGCAAAAAATCCTTTGCTTTAGATTAAATAATAAGAACAAAATAAAAAATTTAATTTATATACATTATAAATCTTCTTTTTATTTAGTAACACAATTAATTAATATAATAATTCACTAAATTTAAATTAAAATTAAATTTTAAACAACAAACAAATTATTTTACCGCACAGCGACACAGCCTTCCCGTACAAAATTTATATATGGACTCTAGAAAACCATAGTCTCATTTTTGTACAATAATCCATAAACACAAATCCAAAAATATTAACATGTCTTGTACATTATAGGAGTCTACGGTTATATGCATGCACACACAATTATTTTGTTAAAGCAAAGAAATGGTGTATGTGAAAGATATTGATCAGTGAAGCTGTTTTGAACTAATGCTTGATAATGTTTGAGACGACCTGACAGAGCATGTCATCCGTCATTGGTTGGGGCATCGGCCACCAGCTAGCCCTGTGTGCATCTGGCTGTGTCCCGGAGCTTCAGCCTGGGGTGGGTTAAATAGAAGTAGCAGGTTACCACCAATGGCTACATATAATGACTGGAAAAAAAAATTATGCATACGTTAAAATAAAAAATAAAATAATTAGTACGATTGCAAAAAAATAGTAAAGTTGAATTTAGCTGGAACACCTTGTAGTGAACCAGAACGTGAAGCATTGCGATAGGGTGCACCACGAGGTACACTTATCTTTTAACTAAAAACTTCCATCGAAATTTCTTCTTTTAACCTTAAAAACAACGCATGCTTTCCCAGATGCACGCAGGGTTGCCACTGATGAAAAAAATTTGTAACCACTAAAAAGCTAAAATAAAAAGTCTGTGAAAAGGTAATCAAAAAACAAAAGTAACATATTATATTAAATAATTACAGCATTATTTATTACTTCACATTGCTGTTTTCAATTTTTTTTAAAAAAATATAACTATAACAAAAACCAAGCAAAAAAGAAATTAAAATAAAATATTTTAATATGTACATTATAAATGTATCGTAATGTATCAATAATATTACATACATATATGTTATGTGCTGGCATTTTGTAATGATTATCTTGTTATGAATTACTTACATGATGATTACATGATGAAAATAATACTACCTGACAGGGTATTTCATCCGCCACTGGTACAGCCAAATGCATCCCCGGTGTACATTTGGCTGTATCCCTGAGCTTCGGCCTGACTATATTTTGTCCTGGGATGTGGCAGTTCTGACTATTTTCAATGAAAGATTCCCAAATTTATTTGTTTTTAATCGCTGAATTATTTCAGTTTTTTTTTATCAAATCGAATAAAATGTAAAATATTAGTGAAGTCTTCCTTGGTATAGTTTTTGAAAAAAGGGACAGGCCCCATTTCTGGGAACGTAAATAAGATAATTTTAAGTTTTTCATAAGCACCTCGGCAAATAAAATGGCCAGAAAAACATTAAATTTTTCTTCTGATAAATTCCATTCTTCACCAGTAACTCGGAAACCTTCATATTTTGTGCATGTTATGATATGATTTATTTTACGATTATTACGTAATAAGAAAGCATTGCTCACAACATTCTTTATAATGCTTCTTTTTGCATATCCTGTACGTCTCATGCTGAAGTTTATTTCAATGCCATATAGAAAGCTTTGCAAGAAGTTCCGACATAATGGATAATTTTGCTTGAATTCCTATAGGAACATGATAATTATTTAGTATTCTATTTAACACATGTGGTTGGATGCAGGATATTAATTTTGCGTCTATGTTTGCAGCTAAACATTGAAATACAAAACAACACTGGTATTTTTCTTTAAATTACGAAATATGCTAAAAATAAAACTTACTGCATTTCCTTTATTTTGCAATTGTTTATGATACGAAACATTCAGCAAACTTAAAATACCATCTAGTTCATTCATTTATCACTTTAACTATTTTTTATCATTTTATTTTTAATTATATTAATTAAATAAATTTTTTCCCTTATTTTTTTTTTATTAATTTGTTTTTTTTTTTTTTTTTAATTTTTATTAATTTTCTTTATTGTTTAATTTTTTGCTTTTTGGTTTGGATA